TCTTTTCATATTGGGAGGAAATGATGAAAAAGTGCAGTTGAGTGCTAAGGAAATGTTTTACTTCTGAACATACATCTACACACATAATATATTTCAAAAGGCACCAGATGTTTTGACCTGAAAAGGTTCAATGACACCCTGTTCCATTGTAAAGGGACAGTGTTGTGTGATGGAAGAATGGTGGCATTTGGATCAAAGTGGGTCTATGTGGGAATCGGTACTCTGCCGCTGGGCTTCAGTACAATGGAGCAAAGCCACTTTCCCTGTGGAACTGTGTGCATGAGTGAATTAATTCACTCATAAAGCACTTAGCACAGTCAGCGTGATCCTGAGCACCCAGCAAGTCAGTACATTTATTTTCCTCATTGAGACAGAGGATTGAGACCCATGGGGACAATCTCTTTCATTGTTTAACTCCATTCAAATAAATTTGAAAACCACGATAAAATGGATAAATGTCTAGGAAGATATAACGTGACAAAACTAAACGCTATAGAGATAAAAAGTCTAAACGAAGCGATTTCTATAGGAGATAAAAAAAAAATAGGGAAAGTTGTAAAAGAGCTACCCCTCCAAAGAAGCACCAGGAGTAGATTGATTCATAGTGGAAATGTATCAAACCTTCAAATATCAGATGACCCCAGTGCAACTGAGGTTAATTCAGAGCGTTGGAAAGAAAGTGAAACTTCCACTTTGTTTTATGTACATAATACTTACTATAAATCCCAATAAAGATTGTGCATAAAAGTAAAAACCATAAATCAATCCAGTTGATTGATATTAATGTAAGAATCTTAAATGAAAATTAGCAAACTGGATCAAAAAGCACATAAAAAGAAGCACTAATAGTAAATGATTAAAGGAGATTCATTCCACAACTGTGAGTGAGGTTCAATATTAGGGAGTCCATTAATAGAGTTCAACATATTAATAGATTTTAAGTCAGTATGAAAGGCAACATCCATCCATGATAAAACCACTCAGTAGTAGAGGTTTATGGATACCTTTTAAAACGTGTGTGTGTGTGTGTGTGTGTGTGTGTGTGTGTGTGTGTAACCCAAAAGCCAATAGCCAGTATCTTATTCAATGTGAAAACAACGAAAGTTATTCCCACTAAAGTTAGGAACAAAGCAAAGATGACCACTACCTCTAATAATATTTAATATTATATTGAATGCATTAATCAGTGCAACAGGCAAGAGGAAAAAAAGGCTGAAGAAATGAAAATTAAGAGTTAACACAATCTATTTGCATTTGATGGGATTGTGTATGTAGAAAACAAGCAAACAAATCTAAACTATGGAAAAATTGTTGCAAACAGTATTTAGTAAAACAGCAGCAGATAATAAATTTATACACAAAAATAAATACTTTTGATTTTGGTAGGATAAATTGAATGAGTAAGTATGTGATATGCTATCATTCCTGATGTAGTTAAGAACTAGGATGGAGGAGTGGGGAGGAAATTCATGTGTAAAAATAGGGTTGAAGTTAAGTAAAAACTCTGAAATCTTCAATTTTAATTGGAAATATTAGGATGAACTCAAGGTATATTTTGCCTTAAACATATTTCTTAGCTCTGCTCACCAAAAAGTCCTATAAAACAATGACTAACCCACTAGTAGTGGGTACATCAAGCTCCCAAATTATGGTCTTCAAAAACCATTCTTGCTAAAAGACTCATGGTTCCTTGGAGAAATGTTGAATTCCAGATCTGAAGCAGCAGATGTATAAGAGGAACCTGAAACTTCTTGTCACACCTGATAGAAAAGAAACCATCAGTTACACCAGAGTCAAAGCAACTCGATTCAGGACTCAGGAGCACTTGAAGGGGCTCTCACTGGCCAAAATTAGGACAACTTGAGCATCAATAAAGGTGATAGCTTCATCTACATTGGATGAATTGAAATGCATCAAGTACCTTCAAATGCATGAATGCAAAATGGTATTTTGAAAAAAATAAAAAAAATGAACTGATTGCCATTGGAGGAAGCTTGGGAACCAACTCGTCCAAGTAAAATGATGAATTGAAAAGTTATAAATAAAGCATTTATCTTGGCTTTTCTATTTGAAGTCTACACAGTGTCACCAAATAGGAGATTAGTGGAAGTTCGCCCTGGTGTAAGTATTCCAGCTAGCAAATGAAGGAGTAGCCGAATTAGATAGTCAGCATGTGCGACCCCTTGTGCTTTGCTGGTCTGGGTCAGTGGCTGCCTCTGTCACCAGCAAAGACTTTCAGATCCTCAGCACCACCTAATGAAAGAAGACTGCACCAAAATTTGCCCAGAATTGAACCTGAGTCTGACCAGGTCTTAAATCCAAGTGCTAATTTACAGGAAATGCAGAGGGCAGAGGATCATGTGACATGGCACCTCAGGAACAATCTGTAAAAGCCAGATGGCAGAAAACTCTACAAGGAAAATGATCAGGTTTGTCTGTAAGCAGAAAAAAGTTGGAGGCAAAACCTATAGATTAAAAGGGACAAATCAACCAGTTTCAATGAGTATATCTTATTTTAATTCTTGTTCAAATGAACTGAAAAACTAAAAATATACAAATTTTTAACATTTGAGATCATTGGAAATTTTCACACCATCTGGATATTAATTGCATTAAAGAATTATTGTTAATTTTTGGATGTGACAATGGTAATGTGGTTATATTTTAAAGAGTCTTTTAGAGACATATTGAAATATTTCTGGATGAAATAATATGTTTTCTGGGATTGGTTTCAAAGTAATATGGGGGAGGGAAGTGGTTGGAGACAGAAAAGAAATAAGGTTGGCCAAGAGTTGATGATTCTACCTGAGTAACAGATATATTGGTGTTAATTATCCTCTTCTGTCTACATTTCTGCATATTTAAATTTGTTATTGGAAAAGTATTTTTAAAATATTAATATATACCATGGCTTAATTCTGCACTTTCCTTGTCAGCCTAAAAATCTAAGCTTACAAGTATAGCGATTGGGGCATTAAGATGCCATTTACAAATTTTAGCATCTCACTTTCTCATGGCAGTTAAACCATCTGGTGTCCACCTGTGCTCAGGGAGCTGCACTGGACTGAGCCGTGGCCCCTAGATTAAAGGTGTGCCTCACTCCGCCCAGAGCACCTGCTGGACAAGTGGGAGGGTGCAGTGCCCACATGTGAGCTTCCTCCGAGCCCCAGGTCCACGTGGTGGGTTCTGGCACTGCCTGCCATTGCCACTGGAGCTTCCTCCAGATCCCAGGAAGGCACAACACTGGGCATTTGAGAGCATCAGCTTCACCGAGGAAAAGACGAAGGGTGGCGAGACCCCGGAGCAGTGCAAAATGATTATCACGCAGGCCTGTCTGTCACTGTCAGGCCAGGCCTGTCTTCTTATTCCTCAGTAAGAAGCCTGTCCCCTTCCTCATCGAGGGCTTTTAGGTTGAATTTCCTGTAGAAATTGCTTTATCACAGCCAGAGTTATTCTCAGACCCATCTTCATCTCTAGCTTGTGTCGTGGGAGTTAAGAAAAGTAATATGTGTGACCCGCTTCAAAAGTGATAACGTGCTCTATGCACATGAATGCTCTGCAGAGCCAGACTTCCCACAACTCTTGCCCCTGCACTGGAAGGCACTGGGCTCTCTTAATTTTCCTCTGAACCATGCAAATGCCCTGGAAGATGTTTCACTAATGTGACATCCACAGAAACCTTTGTCCCCAAGTTCACCACACTTGCCTGAGGTCAGAATGGCAGCTGGCAAGGGATGGACCAAGCAGACTCCAAGAAAGAGAAATGTTGGCATCTGAGTCTCCATCATTTCACCAATGGAGCCCAGATGTCTGTGAGCCCCTCCCAGGGTGGGCTTCCACACCAGGAAGGGCAAGATTAAAGCATGCCTGACCTTCTTTTATATGTTATCATTCACAGTAGGGATGCATGAGCCGGAGCAGCGGGCAAGGATGGCCGAGGGGCAGGGGTGGCGTTAGGTTTAAGACATACATCTTGAAGTGGAGATGCACAGTGGCCTTTTCCAACATAAAACATTCATTTTAAGCCCCACCCCCTTTAATTGCTGTCTGCATGAAAGACAAGATACAGAGGAAACAAATCTTCACCCCCACAGTGGTAAAAGCTTGTTGAGTTCACAGCATGGCAACCTGGTGTAAGTACAAAGCTGCTGAACTTGCACCATTCACAGTAGCCAAGAGACGGGGCAACCTGAGTGTCCAAAGACAGATAAGTGGATCAAGAAAGAGCTTCGAACACATGCTGCTGTTGCAAGGCCCCTGAGGACCTCGTGCTGAGTGAAATAAGCCAGTCACAAAAGGACAAATACTGTGTGGTTCCTTACACAAAGGTCTCTAGAGCTGTCAAAATCAGAGAGACAGAAAGTAGAATGTGGTTGCCAGGGGCTGGGGGAGGGGAGAGCGGGGAGTCAGTGTTTAATGGGTGCAGAGTTTCAATTTGGGGAAGATGAAAAAGCTCTGGAGATGGATGGTCATGGTGGTTGCACAACAGTGTGGATGTGCTTAATGCCGCTGAACCACACACTTAAAAATAGTTAAAATTGTAAATTTCATGCTACGTATATTTTACCACAATAGCTAAGATTCAATGTATTGATATGGTATTTACTACTAAAGTTGCAAACAGCTCTGTACTGTGAAGTGATACTCACTTGTAATACAACCACTTGCTAACATGAGGAAAGTTGAGACACCCTTGTAGGCCCCCTGCGTGGGAGATGTGGCCAGCTGGCAGGCAGGGGCGCTGGGGGCCCAGGACGGCAGGGGACATGCCTTGGGCGATGGGCCAGGACCCAGTTGTAGTCTCCTGTGACAAGAAGCAAAGCCTTCAGCCTCAGTCTGAGGGTAAGGAGAGTAACATGCTCTTGTTCTCTGATTCGTTCCCCAGGTGGCAGTGACAAAAGGAGAGACTCTCCCGGCCGCGGTGCTGGTGCATGGAGAGGAGGAAGAAGACAATTTCCTAATTGGTACCACATACATCAGGTCATATAATTTTCTTATTTTGTAGCCACACTGACCAAAAATTATACCCAAGTAGGAGCTGTGTGTGTCAAGATGGGATAATCACAGTGAATGTCCCAGAGGTTACAGACCTCGCTGCCCAGGCCCCTGGGTCTTCATGATCTTGCACATGAGATGTTCTATGTCCTATGTCCTCCTTTCTTACAGAGGCACAGGATGGCTCAGATGGGTGAAGCGCTGTGTCACATACAGCTGGGGACAGAGCGGGGTTCAAATTAGCCCAGTGTGCCCAGCTCTGAAGCACAAGCAGCTGCCACAGAACCCACCCCACTGAGCAATGCCCATCCACGGTTATCTCCAAAGAAGGAACAAAGGACAGTCATTAATAGCATGAGATTCAAACTCTCCCCACAGTGTGTAAAATTAATTACATGCTTGCTACTAAAAAATTTTTCATCATCTATCTGTACTAGGGTCAGCAAGCTTTTTCTGTAAAGGTCCAGAAAGTAAACCTTTCCTGTCATGTGGGCTTTATGGTGTCTGTTTTAACTGTTCAATTCACTCATGTGCTAAAACAGCCATGGACAATACGAATGGGCATGGCTGTGTTTCAGTAAAACTTCATTTACAAAAACAGGTGGTGGACCATATGTGGCCCATGGGCCATAATTTGACAACCCCTAGTGTGTCAGCCATGACTGGATACCTGCCAGGGGGCCCCCGCATAGTTCACTAGTGTGAGTCACTCTGGCATGTAGCTTTTCTCCAGAAACTGGCTGCTATAGTCAGCTGGGGTCAAGCTCTCAGATGCCCGATGTACCCCTCTGACTGCAACTTATTCTGCTTAGGAAACCTGACTTTAAGAAGGTTGTTGGATTGTTACTGTGAATATGACAACTCTTAGCAGATGGCACATAGTTTAGTAGTCATCTTCAGTAAGTTTGCTATTTCAGTCAACTATGGATTAACCTGGAATCTTGCCTGATAGTGGGTTGAAGGGGTGGGATGGTGCGTTGATAGAGGCATAACTGGGACATAGAGGGTAAGGCACATTCCACTGTGGAAATGTTATATATCTGTACAACTCAGAAGAGGATTTGAAATCTAGTGAGTCTAAGTGTACTCAGGTGTGTTTTTTTTTAAAATCTATTCATTTTCCCCCATTCGTTATTAAAATTGATAGAATATAAGGTGAGAAGCACTAGAATTGGTGGTGATCCCTTGCCTCAGTCTATCTGGGCTGCTATATCAAAAGACCATAGACTGGGTGGCTTATGAACAACAGGAATGTATTTCTCACAGTGCTGAAGCCCAAGGTAAAGGCTCCAGCAGAGTTGGGTATGGTGAGGGCCCATTTCCTGCTTCATAGATGGCAACTTCTCACCGTGTCCTCACATGGTGGAAGGGAACTCTCTGGGGGTTTTTAGAAGGACACTAATCCCACTTATGAGGGCTCCACCCCCAAGACCTAATCACTTCCCAAAGACCCCACCTCCTGATACTATCACATAGGGGTTAAGGTATCAACATGTGAATTTGGGGGGATATAAACATTCGGACCATAATGCCCTTCTCTCCTATGACGTATAGAAAGGGACCACATTTTCATTTGACTTTTATAATGTTTTGCATGAAGAATAAAATTATTGGCCCAAACCAGTCCGAAAATGCGTAACAGCAGGTGGAAGCGGTTCCTTCTTTCCACTGGGTCACCTCTGTTCCCTCGGTGGGTAAGATGCCTTTCCTCTTCTTCCCTGCAGATGGATGGTTTCTAGCCTGCTTCCAAACCCCACCTCAGCTGAGTGTTGGGCAGCACTTCTACATGATCATATGACTCTTGATATGGACGCAGTCCTGTCAGACTTTGTTCGGTCCACGGGGGCAGAACCTGGTCTGGCCAGAGACCTGCTGGAAGGTAAGCCCGCCTCCTTGTCCCCGAAAGCATCCTCAGGGGCATAACCACCTTCCAGATAAGAAGATAAGATTTCCGTTCCCTGACAATAGTCGTACTTGGGCGGTCTTTGGACTCTTTCAAAAGTCACAGAAAGTGCTGGTGATGAAATCATTTTTGTTATTCTTTATTTGGGGCATGAAATAAATGGTCCAACTCTCTACAATAAAATCGCATGAAGCACTAATTGCCTTATATTAAATCTTACAGGTATTGAGTAAAAATTGATCCATACTTATTTTTTAAGAAAATATATTTAGTGGAGCAGAAATTGTAAAACACTTAAGAAAATAGTTTCATATCTCTTTCTTAGCTGAGAGAAAAATATGAATACTTTAAGCCAAAGTTTTTGGCAAAAAACCCACCAACTAGTTGGTAAGTAGTTGGGAACAATTCACAAGCACAAAGGCAACGTTCATCTTACTACTTGTCAAGTCGATGACATTTGCTACATGAAACAATGTGCGCCATCCATATATATGATGTTTTCAGATGTTTAGCTATAATCATAATGGACTAAAAATTAAAGTTCCTTTCTCCAAAATGGTTTTACTTTATTTAATTATTTATTTATTTATTTATTTTTGGTGCTGGTTGTACCAGGAGAGGAGGTGGGAGGAGCCAGCAACAACTTCTCAAGACAGTCATAGGTGTAGGAGGAGAGAATTTTCTAGTGATTACTCTTTGCTTCACATGTATAAACTGCAATGTGTGGAGTTAGTAAATACTTTGTCAAGCATGGTAAGTCAGAGTGATTCTTTAAGACACTTAGGGAAGAATATGAATTACTGTATGTCTGTATAAGTGGAGATGACTGTTGAATCCTATTGAAAATTAAGAACCACCTCTTAGAAGTTTAAGAGAAAATAGCAATGGCAATGGCCTGGCTTTTACATTTTCCTCATCCTCCCAGAATTTCAAACCAACTCAGGGTTTAGAATCAAATATGCTCAGAGAATTTTTGTGACCTATGGCAATCAAAATGCAATTCTCACTTCCTGCTATTCATATCATATAATGTCTCCCCGCCAGTTTCTGTGGTTTTTGTTCATTTCAGTGGGCAACAGTGTGGAGAAGTAGGTTGGCAGTGAGATCTGAGTTTGAGTCCAGACTCAGCCACTTACAAGCTGTGAGACAGAGGGCAAACTATTTTATTTCCCTTAACCTCAGATTTGTTTCTGTAAGTTGAGCCTAACCTACCTTACTAGGTGATTACAAATATTAGAAGTTGTGATATAAAGTGATGTGCACAGCATGTAGCAGATGCTCAAAAAAAACCCAGTAGATCATCATAATTGTGGTCACCATCATTGTAACTAGCAATAACATTGATATTAGTTTCCAGACAGCCTAAATAGGAAGCGAGAGTTGTCATCTCTTTTTGTTTGTTTAATTTTACTTTTCAAATTAAAATACAGAAAAAAATGACCTTTTCATGTCTAGTTCTATGGATTTTAACACATATACATATTTGTGTTATTACTACCACTATTGAGACACAGAAGCCCTTCTTCAACTCCAGATTCTCTGTCCTGCTATCTGCTATAGTCAGACCCTTTCCCACCCCGTCCACTGGTAACTGCTACTCTATTTTCTATTACTAGTTTTGTCTCTGTCCAAGAAAGTCACATAAATGGTATCACATAGAGCCTCATCTTTTCAAACTGGCTTCTTTTACTAAGCATAATTATATTGAGATTCATCCCACTTGTGTGTCAATAGTCTGTTCCTTTTCACTGCTGAGTAATTTTCCTTTCTGTAGATGCATCACAGTTTTTTTGTCTCTTCATCTGTTGAAGGGCACTTCAGTTATTTGCAATTTTTGGTAGTTATGACTAGAGCTTCTGTGAACATTTTAGAACAGGTTTTTGTGACTATGGTTTTCATTATTTTAGGGTAAATTAAAGGGGCGGGATCACTGGTTCACATGGAAAGTGTATGTTAACTTTGTAAGAAACTGACAACCTGTTTTCCAGAGTGCTGTCCCACTTTGCATTCCCACCAGCAATGTATGAGAGTTCCAGCTGCCCCACATCCTGGCCGGCACTTGGTATTTTTCTTTTTTTTTTTTTTTAATTTGAATTTTAGCCATTCTGATAGATGTGTGATGGTATTTCTTAATGTGTTGATTTTCATTTTCCTAGCATCTAATGACGTTGAAGTTTTTATGTTATTATTTTCTACCCATACATTCTCTTTTGTGAAATGTCTGTTCAAGCTGCTTGCCTATTTCTAAACTGAGTTGTTTTCTTATACTTGAGTTTTAAGAGTTCTTTATACACTGAGTACAAATCCTTTCTCAGATATGCAATTTGCAAATATATTCTCCCAGTCTCTTCTTGACTTTTCATTCTCTTAATAGTGCCTTTTGCAGAGAAAATTTTAAATTGTGATACAGTCCAACTCATATGTTTTTCTTTTATGGATCATGCTTTGGGTGACTTGTCTTGTGAATTTTTGCATAACTCCAGGTCATGAAGATTTTCTACTATGTGTGGTCTCTTCAAAGTTTTATGCTTTTATGTTTTACATTTAGATCCATTTAAGTTGATTTTTGTATAATGTGGAAGATTTTAGTTGAGGTTCATTTTTATGTATGTGGATATCCAATTGTTTCAAAATCATTTGTTGAAAATATTATCATTCCTTCATTGGTTTTTGAATTGCCTTTGCACATTTGACAGAAACCAACTGAGCATATGTGTGAGGATCTACTTCTTGACTCTGGTTCTAGTCCATTGATCATTATATCTATTCTTTTGCCAATACTGCACCAGATTTATTACCATTGCTTTGTAGCAAGTCTTAAAATCAGGCAATGTGATTCCTCTAATAAATTTTTTCTCATTTTCAAAAATGTTTGAAGTATGCTATTTACTTTGCTTTTCCATAAGAATTTTAGGATTAGCTTGCCTCTATCTATAAAATATCCTGCTGAGGTTTTGATTGAAATTATGTTAAATCTGTATGTCAATCCTAACTATGTTGTGTCTTTTGATCCACAAAGTATAGCCATACTTTCTATGTATTTAGACCTTCTTTGAGTTCTTTTATCAACCTTTTATAGTTTTTAGCATATAGATCCTATACATGTTTTTGTTAGATTTATATATCTAGGGGTTTTTAAGCTATTGCATATGATATTGTATTTTTTAACATTCTAGTTGCAAATTATTCATTGCTAATATATGGAAGTATAATTAATTTTTGAGTCTTGATCTTGTATCCTGCAATTTTGCTAAAGCCAAACTCAATCATTTGTTGTAGGAGGGCTGTGTGTGTTTGTGTGTGTATTCCTTGGAATTTTCTACATAGATAATCATTTTGTCTCTGAACAGAGACAATTTTATTTCTTCCTTCCCATTCTGTATGACCTTTTATTTTTCTTGACTTATTTCACTGAGTAGGACTTCCAGTAAAAGGTTGAATAGAAATGGTGGAAAAGAACATTCTTACCTTTTTCTTAATCTCAGGGGAAAGCATTCAGTTTTTTACCATTAAGCAGAGTGTTGGCTGTAGGTTTTTGTAGATGCTCTTTATTAGGTGGAGGAAATTTGTCTCTATTCCAAGTTTGCCGAGAGTTTTGTAATGGATAGATGTTGAATTTCTTAAATGTAGATCAAATAGAGTTTTGCTTTACACTGCTAAAATACTAGATTGCATTGATTGCCTTTCAGCCGTGCCTCAGCCTTTCAGCCCTTTCTTTCGATGTTTCTCTGCCCCATGTTTTTCTCCTCTCCTCTGAGACTCAGATGACATGAGGGTTAGACCTTTGGTTACTGTTTCACACATCCCCATGGTTCTGTTAATTTTACTTTTCAATCTTTCTTCTGTCTGTTGTTCAGATTACTTTCTATTGATCTGTAAGTTTATTCATTCTCTGTCATCTCCATTCTGTTATTTAACCCATCCAGTGAGTTTTATATTTTAGTTGTTGAATTTTCTCATTTCTGACAGTTCTACTTGGTTCTTCTTTATATCTTCCATTTATTTGTGAGACTTTATCTTTCAAGAGTGTCCTTACTTACTTGTTGGAAAATACTTGTAAAAATTGCTTTAAAGTCTCTGTCAAATAATTCTAATACCTGTTTCATCCCAAAGCAGCTGATGAGATTTCTCTGTTTTTTGTTTTGTTTTTGTATTTCTGAGTAAATTTGAATTATATCCTAGGCATTTTGAATATTGTATTTTGAGATTCCAGTTCTTAAAATATTACAGTGAATATTGTTATTTTTGTTTTAGAAGATAATCTCCCCACTTGTGGTCACAGCACAAGTTCCACGTTCCCACCTCTGTGGATTGTGGTTCCAGCAAACGAGTCTGAGAAGTGCCATTTGGCTCTGTCTCTCATGTGTGCCAGCTGCCGGCCAGCCTGGGGCTCTGGCGGTAGTATAGCCATATTTCAATATTCAAAGTCTACGTCATCTCTTTACTGTCACATCCACACTTGTAGAGCTCAAGGGTAAGCCCAGAAGTTCATAAGCAACGTTAAGGGGTTGTTCTCCCAAACTCCTGCCTTACCGTAATCTTCTCAATCGTTTCTGGAACCTGGGCTCCACCTTTCAGCCCTCCAGCCAGCTAGAGGAGTTGGGCTTCATTTCCCCACTCTCTGGAACACATGACTTGCCTGCACCATGTCAGAGCCAAGCATCCTGAAGCCAGAGAGAGAGAATAAAACCACTGGGCTCCTCCCCACCCTCTGGGGACCACAGACCCTCTGACTGGAGAGGAAGTTTCCCTATCCTGAAAGTTTTAATTTCCTGCCATCCCCCACTTGGGCCACAGAGTTGTTTGAAGTCTAGGGCACAGGCAACTGAGAAAAAATTTGGAAGAAAAAGAACAAAAGATACATGAGGGATTCCCATACTTTCTGTGAACATCAGAGTCCCTTTTTCCTCCTTCTTGAGCCAGAGCTGGTTCGCTTCTCCGGGAACTCACGGCCACTGTGCTGAGTTCACACTGGG